GGGGGGGGAGTGCCCAGAGAAGAAGCGGGTAAAGGTGGGGAGCAGATGGTCCAGAAGGGCTTCATTGGAGCTGCTGTGTGAGAAAAAACGGGAGAGGAAATGAGCCAAGATTTCATGACACTTTGTTGTATAATAAAGTCCCTGTAGATGAGAGCCTTTGGAAGAATTCACACTGAGGACAAAATTGTGTGTTAAAGGTTCCCAGTCAGCCTGAGGCTCTGCTCCGGAAGCTAAACTGCAGGGCTGGGCGTATGTGTGAAAATTCCCCAACACTAAGATGGCCCACTCCCTTTCCTTCTCCTGTTTCCTTCCTCCTTTCTGTTCACTCCCTTCTTCCCCACTCTCCTCTCTGTACCCACGGCCTGCTTCTCTTCTGCCTCTGCCTCTGCCCTGCCCTGCCCTGCCCTGCCCTCCTTATCTGCCTGCTGCCAGCTCCCATCATGCCTGCTGGCCCAAGATAACTGGGGATGTTGACTCCTGGTTCCGAAACCTGTCCAGGACTCTTATCAGCAGATACTGAGAGTTTATAGAACAGAGTCCACCCCTGCTGGGGTCGGTGAGGTTGCCTTCACGAAACACAAGCCCCACGCACTCTACAGCTGAACAAGCGTGGGCAGACGCACGAGCCCACGAATCACCCCTGCTGCAGGCCGCCACCCACTGGGCTGACACTGTCTGCTGGACTACCTCTCTCCTGTGGCCCCAGGTTCATGAGAAAGCAGGGAGAAGCCTCTCAAGGAAAAGGTCATGGTTGGCCATGTGACCTGGGGATGAGCCCGAGGCAAGGCCAGACCTGCCAACCCCACTCTAAGTGGAGGATGGGGTGGGGGTGGGGAGGCAGGAACTGGGTGGGTGTGGCTGGGAAGAGCTGTTGAATACTGTTCCTTGACTACTGACCTTAAAACTCCTGGGAGGTCTTGCACACCCCGCCCCCAACTACGCATAGGGTTCTGCGGGGGGAATTCTGCCAGGCAAAGCAAGTGGAGACATTTCAGAGCTCCAAGGCGGGTGACAGCTGGGCCCCCTATTGGCCCCATGCATACACTGACAAGCACAGACACACTGGCTCTGGGGCCCAGTCCCACAGCCCACTGTCATCTCACAAACACACACTCACCGCGCACATTCCCGATAAGTCCCGCAGACAGAACACTATCTGCTACATCAGACTGTTAGGGCTCATGTGCTGGCCCCGCTGCCAAGAAGCTGTGTGACTGTGGGCAAGTCGCTTAGCCTCTCTGTGCCTCAGTTTGCTCAACTGGAGTATTGGGCATGTTACAGGGTGACAGACGTCGCCTGTCATGCACATGCCATCTCAGGCACACACGCACACGGCTGGTGTCCACTTGCTACCTACATCCTGTGCCTGAATGTGCACACACACTTGCAGGAACCACGCACTCACCCGTGCTGTCACCTGTCCCCCGTGCAGCACCTCACACTCCTCATGCCCAAACCGGTTTCCATCAGCTCAGGTCAGGCCCACCTTCTCAGAACCCCCCTCATGGTTGCTTCATCCCCAAGGGGAAACACTCCTTTCTCTGACAAGACCACACATGTCCCCCGTTATTCTCAGTGCTTCCACCACCTGGGAAGCCCCTCCTCTACCCTGTCACCAGAGCTAACTTGTCTCTAAGCTTTGAAGGCCTTGTTCTGGGCCAGCCACCTCCTCCAGGCAGCACTGCCTACCCACAGCCACACCTATGGGTTCCCAGGGAACTTTAACCAAATAGAGGAATCTACAAATCATCAAAGGTCACCACTGGCACTCTGATGAGTGGGTGGAGCCTGGGCCCTGGCCCGCCTTGGGAGATTGGGCACCTTGCTAGGTGGCTGGGCAGGAAACCCAGGCCTGAGGCAGGACAGAGCTGCATGGCCTCCAGGCCAGCCCAGCGAGTGGCTGGTGCTCCCCACCTGGCCTCTGACCCTGAGTGCTGACCACAGAGCAGGCCCCCATGGAGGAGCCCGCGGCCTCTTGCTCCCGGTGAGTGCCCCCCAAGGAGACACCTCCTGGACCATTTGGCTGTCCTTGGGCTTGGGCTCTTCCTCCCCCAAGGACCCCTCAGTTTATACCCTTGGTCCATGGTCTCCCCCAGAACTTTGGAGGCCCTCCCCCCAGGCTCAGCTCAAGGAAAGTTCTACTCTGGGTGCAGAGTCAAAGCCCTGGGCCTGGGCTCCCAGGCTGGACCTACCCAGAGAAGGTGAAAGAGGGGGCAGAGCTCGTGGAGAGTGGGGGAGGGGCAGAACTCTTGGAGGTGCCCTTAGCAGTGGCTCTCAGCCTTCCTAATGCCGAGACCCTTTCAAACAGTTCCTCATGTTGTGGTGACCCCCAACCATAAAATAATTTTGCTGTTATGAATCCATCGACTCTTGACCCCCAAATGGGGTCGCAACCCACAGGTTGAGAACTGCTGCCTTAGGGGTTGATTTGTCAGGCAGGTATGTGGAAGGGAGAAAGCAAAGGGGAAGTCTCTGGGGAAACTCTGGTCAGTCCTGGGCCAGCGACCAATGGAGAGGGACCCCCTTCACCCACCAAGAAGAGGTGATGAGGTTGCCAACATGGCTGGGCCAGGACCCCTGGCAAAGCAGACTCTCCGCACCGACCGAGGGGCAGGTAGGCGGTTCTCCTGCTGATGCGGTGGCTTTCCCCAGAGTGGAGCACCGCGCCGCAGTGGCCCGCGACCTGCTCCTGGCAGCACTGGAGGACCTGAGCCAGGAGCAGCTGAAGCGCTTCCGCCACAAGCTGCGGGACGCCAGTGGGGGCAGCCGCAGCATCCCGTGGGGCCGTCTGGAGCGAGCTGACGCCTTGGACCTGGTCGAACGGTTGGTTGAATTCTACGGGCCAGAGCCGGCGCTGGAGGTGGCCCGCAAGGCCCTGAAGCGGTCAGACGTGCGTGATGTGGCCACTCGGCTCAAGGAGCAGCGGCTGCAGTGTGAGCACCTGTGGGGACTGGGCGTGGGCAGGTGGCCCCGGCGCAGCTGGTTGCCCACACTTCCTTTCCACTCTCTGGGAAGTGCGGTTGCAAACTCCCAGGGGCTGGGGTGGGCCTTGAGCTCTCCTAGGTAGACGCCCTGAGGGTGTTGGTATTATGAATTGAGCTGCCATCTTCATGGTCAGCAGTTCGAAACCACCAGCAGCTTCGAGGGAGAAAGAATGGGCTCTCTATTCCCGTAAACAGTTACAGTCTCAGAAATCCACTGGGGGGTCACCCCCTGGTGAGTCAACATTGACACTCATGGCATGCCCCCTCCTCCGCGCACCAGGCAAGGCCTCACAGCGCTCTCCCTTCCAGGTCTCGGCCCGGGCCCCGAGGTGGAGCTCTCTGTGTCTGGTAGGTACAGCCTGGCCCGCTCAGGGTGGCAGGGTCCGGACTCCATATGCGAGTCCCGACATCTTGTCTCGGGGTGGAGGCTGGGCAGACTGAGCTGACAGCGGGGAGGGGTGTGTGATCCGGCGGCGACTGACAAGGTGCCCCTGCCCCCCGCCCCTGCTTCCCAGAATACAAGAGGACATACAGGGCACACGTGCTGCTGCTGCACGCCAAGGTGAAGGAGAGGAACGCCCGCTCTGTCAAGATCACCAAGCGCTTCACCAAGCTCCTCATCGCGCCCGAGAGCGCCGAGGCCGACGGCTACGCCGAGGCCGACGACCTGCGGCCGCCTGAGGAGCCCGTGCCCCGGCGTGCGCGCCGCTCCAATACCGACACCTTCAACCGGCTGTTCGGCCGCGACGAGGAGGGCGAGAGGCCCCTGACCGTAGTGCTGCAGGGCCCGGCGGGCATCGGCAAGACCATGGCGGCCAAGAAGATCCTGTACGACTGGGCGGCGGGCAAGCTGTACCACGGCCAGGTGGACTTCGCCTTCTTCCTGTGCTGCCACGAGCTGCTCGAGCAAGCCTGTGCGCGCAGCCTGGGCGACCTGGTCCTGGAGCAGTGCCCCGACCGCCGCGCGCCGGTGCGCCAGATCCTGGCGCAGCCGGAGCGGTTGCTGTTCATCCTGGACGGCGCGGACGAGCTCCTGGCGGCCGGGTCCGCCGAGGCTGCGCCCTGCAGTGACCCCTTCGAGGCGGTGAGCGGCGCGCGGCTGCTGGGGGCCCTGCTGAGCAAGGCTCTGCTGCCCTCGGCCCGCCTGCTGGTGACGACGCGTGCCGCCCTGCCCGCGCAGCTGCAGGGCCCCCTGCGCTCGCCGCAGTGCGCCGAGGTGCGGGGCTTCTCCGACAAGGACAAGAAGAAGTACTTCTACAAGTTCTTCCTGGACGAGCGCACGGCCGAGCGCGCCTACCGCTTCGTGAAGGAGAACGAGACGCTGTTCGCGCTGTGCTTCGTGCCCTTCGTGAGCTGGATCGTGTGCTCCGTGCTGCGCCGCCAGCTGGAGCGCGGCCAGGACCTCTCGCGCACCTCCAAGACCACCACGTCCGTCTACCTGCTCTTCCTCATCAGCCTGCTGAGCTCGGCGCCCCCCGCCAAGGAGGCCGGGCTGCAGGGCGAGCTGCGCAAGCTGTGCCGCCTGGCCCGGGAGGGCGTCCTGGGCCGCCGCGCACAGTTCACCGAGCAGGACCTGGCGCGCCAGGAGCTGCGCGGCTCCAACGTGCAGGGGCTGTTCCTCAGCCAGAAGGAGATGCCGGGCTTGCTGGAGGCCGAGGTCGCCTACCAGTTCACCGACCACAGCTTCCAGGAGTTCTTCGCCGCGCTGTCTTACCTGCTGGAGGAGGACGCGAGCCCCGAGGTCCCGGCGGGCAGCGTCGAGGCGCTCCTACGCGGTGACACGGAGCTGCGCGGCCACCTGACGCTCACCACGCGCTTCCTTTTCGGGCTGCTGAGCGCGGAGCGCATGGGCGACATCGAGCGCTACTTCGGCTGCGTTGTCTCCAAGCGGGTGAAGCAAGACGCCTTGCAGTGGGTGCTGGGGCAGGGCCGCCCCCCGGCGACGCCCGAGGGCGCCGAGGGGCTGCAGGGGCCAGAGGAGCCCGAAGAGGAGCAGGAGGAGGAGGAGGAGGAGGAGGAGGAGGCCAACTATCCGCTGGAGCTGCTGTACTGCCTCTATGAGACGCAGGAGGCCGAGTTCGTGCGCCAGGCTCTGCACGGCCTGCCTGAGCTGACGCTGGAGCGCCTGCGCTTCAGCCGCAACGATGTGGCGGTCCTGAGCTACTGCGTGCAGCACTGCCCGCGCGGCCAGGCCTTGCAGCTGCGGGGGTGCGGGCTGAACGTGGTGCGGGAGAAGAAGAGGAAGAGCCTGGTGAAGCGACTACAGAGCAGCCTGGGCGGCAGGTGAGTCCACTGGGCAGGGGGGGCAAGTGCCCACCTGGGCCTGGGAGTGTGTCCACACTCGAGGGACCGCCCCGAGGGCTGGCGGGACCCAAGGGATGCCTTTGCCAGGCCCCTTACCAAGCTTTGTTGACTTCCTAATCAGCTGTGATAGTTTGTCTCACAAGCGGTCACCACACCGAGGCTGAGGTTGGTCGCTACAGATTAGTCAGCATGTGTAAGATGGTATTTACCTTGCTCCTCCCCCAGGGGCTCTCTTGTGCCCACACTCTAGTGCGGGCTCTGGCCCCTCCCCCTTCTTCTCCACCCTGCCTTTTGAGAGCGTGGCACTGGGGGGTGCTTGGCCCATCTGGCCCTTCCCTCCACCCACAGCAGGCTTAGCTGCTGGTGCCCCAGCTGGCCTGGGACCGCTGACCCCAGAAACACCCCTTTTCCTCCAGTATACTCTCAGCACCCCAGGGCAACGCCCTGAGCCCTTTCTAACCTGAGCAGGTGTGCAGCATGTGAGAGGACGGTGTGAGCTCGTGGCCAAGGTGGAGCGAGACAGACCCACGTGTGGTGCTATGGAGAGCAGAACATGCATCTTTCTGGGTCCTGGTTGAGGGCAGCAGGGGGCGGGGGCAGTGACAGGGCGTTCCAGGATCCGCTAAAGTGTCCTGGCTCCCCCTGGGGCCCAGTCCTTTCTAGAATGGAAGGCCTGGGAGGGAGCAGCTGATCACCTACCTCTCTCCCCCAGGAATTCTCAATCAGGCCAGAAACAACGGCAAGTCTCCCCGCTGAGGCCGCTATGTGAGGCCATGGTTGACCCGCACTGTGGTCTGAGCAGCCTGACGTGAGTGGCCATGCCCCAGCCAGGGCCTACCAGGGAGGGGACTCGGAGTTGGGGACAGAAGGGTGCTGGTGCTAGGAAGAAGCAGGGTGCAGCCAAACCTTCTAGGGAGGGGTAAGCTTAATGTATTTCACTTCTCAATGTGAGGCTGCTATATGCAAGGGGTCCCTCTGGGCTCTTGGAAACAATGGTGGAAGGTGTTCAGTTCCCAGGCAGTCGGGCTGGGACCTCGGGTGCCACTGCGCAAGTCAGCCCCCTTCCCCCAGCCTCCAGTTCCTCCTCAGTAACGTGGGGCCAGAGACGCCACGTCTGAGAGAGGGGTCCACAGTTCAGACGCTGGGCCAAGCACACAGGGGTCCCTGTGCTGCACAACCGGTCCAGCCCCGCTGGCCGAGTCACAGAGACCCTAGGGATTGACTACAGGAGCCCAAGGGCTTCCAACCTCGGCTGCTAACTGAAAGGTCAGCAGTTCAAGCCCCTGAGCCCTTCCGTGCAGACCCCAGCCCGCCAGCCATGGGGACTGAGGGGACCAGTCCCGAATGAAGTCGACAGCAAAGGGCCAGGTTAGGTGTCAGCCCCTAAGGGTGTGGACAGCAGGTCTGTGTGGGCTGTCAAAAGGCCAGCAGTCCAGTGTCCTGGAGGAGGAAGGGACTCGGACCCCAGGGCGGCGGGGCCTCCGTGGGTCCAGGGCAGCAGGTGTGGGGCAGCACGGGCCTCAAAGAGTGGGGCAGGGTGTGCAGTTGGGGAATCTTGAAGTGGCAGGGCCGCAGACGAGCCCCATGCTCTGGCTCCCAGGCTATCCCATTGCAAGCTCCCGGACTCAGTCTGCCGAGACCTGGCCGAGGCCCTACGGCTGGCCCCCGCCCTGACCGAGTTGGACCTCCAGCACAACAGTCTGAGCGACATGGGCCTGAAGGTGCTGTGTGAGGGGCTGGCCTGGCCCAGGTGCCAAGTGCAGACGCTCAGGTGAGGACCTGCTGGGAGGTGTGGGAGCCGGGGGATCCCGGAAAGGGCCCACAGCCCCTCCTGAGACTGGCTCCCTGTAGGGTGCAGCAGCCCAGCCTCCAGAAAGGCCTGCAGTACGTGGTCAGCTTGCTCCAGCAGAGCCCAGCACTGGCCACACTGGACCTCCATGGCTGCCAACTGCCAGAAGACACTGTGAAGTACCTGTGCGCCACCCTGCAGCACCCCGCATGCAGCCTGCAGTCCCTCAGGTGCGGGGAGGGGGCATATGTCGGGGATGCTGCCTTCCACCCTGGGGAACTGGTGACCCGGAAGGACCATGCTGACCCCAGCTGTTAGGCTAGCCACAAAGGTCCAGCCTCTGAAACCCGCCTGCAACCCCTACACTCCCTCAGAGAGTGACAGCCTCCCTAACTGGTCGGCCATCTCTCCACTGGGCCCTTTGGTCACAGCCTCAGCTTGGCTCTCCACCCCAACCCCCCACCCCCATCCTGCCCTCACCCCTGCCTTCTGGCCCCCTCCTCGGGCCTGGGCTCTGGGCCCCTCACCCTCCCTGCTCCCCTCTTGGCTGCCCAGGTCCGAGCTCCCTTGACCACCCCCCTGTCCTCTGCTTGGCTGTAGTCTGGCCTCCATGGAGCTGAGTGAGGACTCCCTGCAGGAGCTGCGGGCTGTGAAGAGTGCAAAGCCAGGTCTGATCATCACACACGCTGGGCTGGACCACCTCCCAGAGCCCCTCAAGAGCGTCAGCAGTGCCTTCTGAGGCCCTGGAGCTCACCACTGGGCAGAGAGGCTTCTCATATCCCCAAAGAGGTCTTGGCTGGGAGACAGAGTCATGGATGGGCAGGTGGGAGGCTCAGGCAGACATGGCTCTCCCCAGCCGGGCTCTCCTCCCCTGAGGCCCCTGGCCATTGTCTTTGGAAGGATGGCGGTGTGGGCCCCTTCAATGGGCACCTCCACTGGTCTGCTCCATGCACAGTGACTCCTCCGTGCACTGGCTTCACCCCTTTCACCCTGTGACTGCACAGTCCCCACAACTCTACCCCTGGCCTCAGTGTGAGCAGCAGGCAGCTCATGATCTCCCCCTGGGAAATCAGGCTCTGGCCTGAGGTTGGACCTGCGAGCAGCAAGGAGCCTTCAACCGCCCTCCTCACCCTCCTGAAGGTGAAGCCGAAGGAGAGCAGGGAAGAAGGTGGGCAGGCCCAGGCCCCATCGCTGATAATAAAGGCCTGGAAGTCCACCTCAGTCTGGTGAGCCACCTGGCAGGCACTCCTCATCTGCCTTTGGTCCCCAGACTAGACCAGGGTGAAGGCTATTGTGTCCACCATGCTCAGGGAGATCTAGGATGGTCCTCTCTGCCCTGCTGGCCCCTGTCGGGGGGCTTCAGGCAGGGCAGGTCCTTCCACTTAGTGGGCGGATTTCCCTTCACTCCCTCCTTTCTAAATTCACTCATTCATGCAGCCCACAAAACAGACAACATTTCTGCCCTCCTGGGCTGTGTGATCCATAAACATGTGCCACATGCATGATAGCACACATGATAGAGTAAGTACATATGTGATACCTAAGTAAGTACATGATGAATGAAGAAATAGACCCTATGAGACTGTAAGTACCTGTGTAGTGTATGAGCATGTGACACATGCTTGGGAACCCACATGGCACATATACAACACAAGCAGGTATATGTAATGAAGAAATGCTTAAAATAATAAGTACATGCATATGTAATGCATAAGAAGGCTAATGTATAAATATACCAGCTCTCGCTGCCATCAAGTCAGTGGTGCCCCCTTGTGGGTGCCCGAGACTGTAACTGTTGACGGGACTAGCAGCCCAGTCTCCAAGGAGAGCAGTTAGTGATTTCAACTTGTAACCACTACGCTACCAAGGCGCTTTAGGAGGCAACGCATACAAATGTAATACACAAACACGTGATACAGCCCAGAATAAAGTACATACATGAGACACACACTCTGTATGTCTATGTGTGACACACAGACATGCAACACAGTAAGTACACATGTGAGATAGTTTATTGTGCCAGCCTGGCTGATAAACACAGGTGGGATTAACTGAAGGGCAGAGAGATAAATGACTTAGTGAGCCTCGCCTTTCTTGTCTCTCGCTCTGTGATCATCAGACCAGTGTGCGGCTGCCTTGCTTGTTCTGTGCCTCGATTTAAAGGCTACACTACCTGTGGGACGCCTAGCCTGTGAACTGTGTCGCTGTAAGTTGAGGTTCATTTAAGACTTCTCTGGAGCTGGGGACTGGTGTTTGGTGACCTGCCTTGTGATTGGCTGCTGGGCTGACATAGCCTAGCTCTCTCTACAAATAGAGGAAGATCTGGCAGCAGACTAGACTCGAAGGACTGCTAGTCTCTCAGCTCTCTCTCGTGGACGTGAGTTGCACTGAGCCATTTGTAGTGCTTTCTAATTTAACTGTTTATTTCTTGTATTATATATTTATCTGTATATGATTTAACAGTTCATTCCTTGTTATATATCTAATTATCTTTATAAATACATATATTAAATTGTCGGCAATTTGGTTTTATCTCTCTAGAGAACCCTGTCTAAAACATTTTGGTACCAGGAGTGGGGTGGATCTATTGACTGGGGTGGGTCAATAGTTTCTAAGGGCTCAATATCCTCCTGTTCTGGATCATCAGCTCATATGTTCCCATCCCATGTTTCAGGGTCCCAACTTTTCCCAATCAATGCCCTCACTTTGGTTTCAGACACTGCTCTAGATCTGCAATTCAGCTGCCATTGTAATTCAGCCACTCGTATAATGAGACTCTGGACCTGATTCTCAGCAATGTCA